GTCCATTTTCTCATTCATATTTTCATTTGTCCATTTTCTCATTCATATTTTCATTTGTCCATTTTCCCATTCATGTTTTCATTGGTCCATTTTCCCATTCATATTTTCATTTGTCCATTTTCTCATTCATATTTTCATTGGTCCATTTTCTCATTCATATTTTCATTGGTCCATTTTCTCATTCATTTTGTTCATTTTCCTGTTAATATCTCAAGACATACCCTTGTTTCTTTATCATTTATTCAAGTATTTTTCTTTCCAGCGTCTGTTTTCATGGTGACTTTCCTTCTAATGGGTTTTAATCTGAGTATTGCTGCCATAGTAACGTTCACAGTAGCTATGATCATCACTAACCTGTTAGGCTTGATGTACTTATGGGATATCTCCTTGAATGCCATATCGCTAGTCAACCTTGTTATGGTGAGTKYCKAGGTTGTTRATGAAGGGCAGTGGAGTGTAATGAATCTCTGCATCGACACAAATCTGTAATAAAGAATAATAATTATAGCACAACCGCATCAACATGTCCTTTTCAAATAGTAAAATCCATTAGAAAGTAATGATATGAATATGAGGACCGCATGGCACTATGATAAACATGATATAGAAATAAAGGAAAGTTATAGTGCTAGGAAGGAAGACCCCTGGAAATAAATTGGGAAAAATTATATGTCCAACCTCCATTCCTAAATAATTCAAATTAACAAACCAATTTTTACCAATAAAAATTGTGAAACCTATTGTTTTTGCAAAAAACATCTATGTCCAAATTTATGCTAAAAGTACAAAACCATGTAACCAATGGGTCCTAATGATTCTACATGTATCTACATGGTGGGATGGCAGATAGTAACATGTAACCAATGGGTCCTAATGATTCTACATGTATCTACATGGTGGGATGGTAGATAGTAAAATTAACGCAAGTTGTTTTGGGTGTCATATAGCCCTCTGGAGATGTGTTGATTTTAGCTGGTTACTCCATGGGCATAGCGTTGTTCAGGTTGCTCTACTATGACAAGTAATCATAACTAATGGCTCACACTCCCTGTGTTTGATGTCTGTAGGCTGTTGGCATATCTGTGGAATTCTGTTCACATATATCAAGAGCTTTTGCAGTTAATCTAAAAGAGACTAAGATTAAAAGAGCGCAGGACTCATTAGCACAYATGGGAAGCTCTGTAAGTATTGGTTTTAACACAGGTATCCCAAGCTAGGTGTTTTTGAAGTTTTTAGATTTTTTTCGAAATTTATAATTTATGATAAAAATAAATATCTCTATCTCTGTCTTGTGTTTTTCTTTATATTTTTGTCAAGTTTCAGTACATTTGATTCAATATTGAGTGATTTACTTAGTATAGCTGTTGTTCCCAAGCGTCCTAAGAGGAGGAAATTTTAGAAATTTTTCGAAACATATATTTCAATAAAAATACATCTCTATCTCTGTGTTGTGTTTTTCTTTACATTTCTGCGAAGTTTCAGTCCATTTTTTTCAATATTGAGTGATTTATACCTGTTGTTCCCAAACGAATTGCTAAAAACCTCAAAACATACATCTTGCTTGGGATACCTGTGGTTTTACTGTCCATTTCTCTCCCTACTAACAATGTATGGCTCGTCTAACTGTGATGTTATTGTGCAGGTATTAAGTGGTATTACTCTTACTAAATTTGGTGGTATAATTGTACTTGCCTTCGCAAAATCAAGAATATTTGAGGTAAGTTCRTATAGTTTCTCAATGATATGGGAAAAGTATAGTAAAATGAGTATATGTGGTTTAAAGAATACGAACACGCGAATGAGTAACAGCATTTTGATTTGTGTTTTTGCTTAAATGTTGTACGTGTATTTTTATTACTATTTTTATTTTAAAAGTTGTTTTATATATACTGGACTATTTTGATAGTTTTCGATCATTCCCATGAGATTCAAAAGATAAAAGACCGGCGGCCATGTTRGAGGAATGAATACTAATGAGAAATCCTTTGTGGAAGTTCCTCCAAGATGGCCGCTGTGACTTGTGAAAACGGACGCATTTCCAGGAGTTTTTCTTTATTCTCCTTGAGTTTTTCTCTGTGGCGTGCTCTTATTTATGTCCCTTTGTCATAAGCATAGTATATGAAGTGTTGCTTTCTAACATAGACTAAATCTTGCAGTTATATATTTATCTAACAGAATTAATAACTAAGTAGGGGCTTAATATGAAGTAAAAATCCTGAGGAAAAGATTTAACGTATTAATAAGTCTACCTTGGAGACACRCTGTCAATTTTATTCTCTAAATAACTTGAATCTGGTAAAAGATGCTACAAWCAGTTCCAATCCACTAGCTCTAACATGTAATCGTTAATCAAACCGCAAAATCAAATCACATTGTAATACACCTTTTGCTCTCAATAACAGCGAAGGAATATTCATTCAGCAAAGACCTACTGTCATTTTAGCGATCAGGCATTCAAGAACGCAAACGTAGTCTCAAGAGTGCAATGGATGAACGTTCATTAGCGTTATCGTGCAGACAAAACTGAAAAGCACTCAGTCAGTGCGTGTTTTGTATATTTATTTGCGCAATATCATACAATGTTTAGTGTTCTTTTAGATTGCGTTAATAAATGTCCAGAACACTGTACAGAATACGTGCTTTCGTTCTTGTTTGCGCAAAAACAAAATGCACATTCTCTTGTAATTTTGAGATTCCGTTCACGTTATTGTATGTTTCTTCACTCTAATGACAATAATTTTTCGTCTGAATGAATATTTCTCTGAGGTCAATGAATAGCAAAAGGTGTACTCGTAATCGCTTACAAAAGGCGGGAAAATCTGGACGCGCGCGCGACGAGCAAATCTAGCGTCTTCTTGATTGGACAAGGAAACGGGGCTGTATTGACCAATTGGAGCGCATGTACTGTTGAAAAACAACGGTRCACCTTATGAATTTTTTTACAATCTATATCCTCAGGTGTTTTACTTCAGAATGTACGTTGGGATGGTTCTGTTTGGGGCTCTWCACGGTTTAGTTTTCTTACCTGTTCTTCTGAGTTATGTTGGGCCAAGACCCTCTAGATTAAGGGCCGCACTAGATGAAAGCAAAGATGCTGAAAAAAGCCCTCTTATTATAAAGCATTAATAACTAGGCATGTATTATAATATCTTAAATGGATGAATTACAGTTTTTTAAGAAATGGTGTTTTTTTTCGGTATTTTGTACAARGGTTTTCCTATTTTAAGATACTTATCAATCGTACATAATGCATGATGGGATAGTTATTGATGGATGAGTAGATTGATAGACGAAGTCTCCTTCGCTGTTCCCTGCGCATCTTGAATGATAACCGTGGCTTTGTATCGAAGCGAGACGACCTTTGAGCGTGCATTGATAGATTACCTGTGAATCATTGTTTATCGTTATTAGAGAAGATTTCTATTGAACACTCACCAGTCTCGCTTCAAAACTCAAAACGAAGGCATGAAAAACTTTCAAGGTGGCTTAGGGAACTGTCAAGGAGACTCTTTTGTAGAATAAATTATGGAATATTAAGTGAATGAATGGTTGAAATGTGAAATGAATGGATGGATAGAGAAATGAATGATCGGAGAAATAGATCATTGATTAGGCGCGTGGAAGAAGCGAAATTGAATGGTGTGGATGAGTTGCAGAATGAAGCAARTGAACCGTAAAAAGAGAATGATAAAAAGATAATGAATTGATAATTAAGGCGAATGATATCATTTGGTGAATAAGTGAATYAATGCAGAAATAAAAGCATAACAATCCATCATTAGTCATTAACTACTGGGCTCAAGTCAACCAATACCATTCACAATATAAAGAAGTATCTAATGCTTTGTTTTTAGGTTTTTTATTTCCGAATGTACCTGGGAATGGTTCTGTTTGGTGCTCTACACGGCCTCGTGTTTCTACCTGTGTTTTTAAGCTACATTGGYCCCAAGCCATCACGTGATCCAAACCTATCAAAAGTCGAGTCTCTACGTGGAAGTTTTATGAATGGAGAACAAAAACCACTTTTAGCTTCAAAGTACTCTGCAATTCAATAACACATGCTCAACGCGAAGAAAAATCTATAATATATACAAAACTTTATATATAATTCAATTATTTTCTGTAAAATRCCATCTCGTTCACAGGCTTTTTTCGTCAATTGTTGAGCGGGGTCTGGGAATAAGTTACATTCTCTCTCTTTGTTTATTTACACWGTTAGATATTTCAAGATGGTGTCTAATGTGCGTTATGCTGCATAATGAGATGCCATTTCTAGTGTAAAATACATTTTTTTTCTTACAATTTTGTAAATGATTATAATATGACAATTACTGCTTACAAAACTATTGGTGAATATGGTTCATTGTATCTTAGTAGTCTATGAGCTAATAAACATGGCTGTTTTCTAGAGTGTAGTGAATCAATTGAGATWAGGAAGGGAAAGGGGTTTATGATGGTCATTGAAGTCTTCGAAAAGCTGTTTGGAATCGTTAAACTAAAGAAAACCAGAAACAATAAGCCTAACAATTAAATCCATCATATTATTGGATGGCAAAAGAATATCTATAGGAGGAGCCGACGGGTTCCTGGGAGAAATATATTTTTTCTTATGTTCCAGCCAGCTGTAAGTCGCTGGTTGTGAGCGAGAAATCCAGGAAAAATTATTTTTCAACGGCGACCAGTTTTTCACGGAGTAATCTACCTCTGGGCAATCAGCAAAACACACTCTACTTTTAATTAAATCCAGGTACTTGGAAGATGCAAACACTTCTCACAGCTAGAGGGGGGACGGACTCCCGAATAAATAAGGGCGGGCTCTTCGTCGTTCCTTTCAGGGTTTGAAATCAGTGTTTTGGTCCCGCTCAGGGTGATAATGACGAGAATTCCCAACAACTGATCTAGTTCTGTGGTCCCTTTTACGACCACCAGAAGCCGATCAGATGCGACGGCGTTTGCATGCTTGTGCAAAAACACAAATGAAATCGGGAAACCAAAACAAAATCACCTGTTATTGATTGGTCCATCTTAGGTGTGAAATTTCAGCACTGCCACGCCCATCATCTCACAATACAGGGGAGAAATTTATCTGGTATTCAAGCTCTAGAATTCATGGAGGTTCATCAGTAATCCCGAAAATGCCGGTGCGCATTAAGTATAAGTGACTAAGTAAACGAAGTTTCGTAATACCTATCCCATGGGTATTTTCATATGCAGAGTATTTAAGGTGTGAGTCATGAATGAATTGCCATTCGAAGGCATCTTATCGTTAACACAAATCTTAGTTTTTTGTTTTTCTCACTAGCCCTGGTTGTCGATCCAACCTTGGAACACAAATGAGTGCTAGCTTCTTTGACTTGAGTCAACTATGCCGTTTATTATTTGTATGTGACCACTCGTATAATGTATAATTTTCAGTTGTTGCATTATTGCATGAATAAACGAGATGCCCGCCCCTACTATGTTGTCTGGTCTTATTATTTGAATGTAGTTTAGGTAATAAATGTTTTATACTCGTTCATAAGTGAATAGAGTATAACTCAAAAAAGTGTTCACAATTTGCGGCAACTCTTTATTCACGATTGATAACTATTGAAACAAGTGGGCAAGATGGCAGCTGACGCATCTCAGTTCTTGCCGATGAGGCTAGGACATTGCAAGCCCAGTACTAAAACCAGATATAGAAAATGTATTAAGATATGTATCTGACTGTCCCGCATTTTCATGTAGGATAATTTAATATAATCTATAGTGATTTCTATTATTTTGACAACAAAATGAAACATTGAGTCTTCCAAATAAACAAAATTTATAACAATTCGACAATCATTGTTTTTGCAGCTATAGTTAGACTATTTTTAACACACCATTCTCAGAATTTTATTGACCTGGAGATTTTTTGATTGGGAAATTCCCTGATGCCGAAACCTCGTGAGTAGCACATTGCTCAAGATTCTCAGAACTTTCAGTTTTCAGGGGGCAGTTTTCAGGTGATGGTTTTGACAGGGAAATTCCCTATGCTGAGACCTGGTGATTAAACGAACACGTTTTGAGCAAGCCTTGAATACTTTCTTCTGCCTCTTGACGAATACAGACGTTCCTTGATAGCACTAGCAGTATCGAAGAAAGCGAACTGTTTTCGAAGCTCAATTTGACTGATTAAGGTAAAAGAATTCGATCCTATCGCGATCGAGTAATTCTCTGTATCGCAACTTATAGTTTGTGATCGCATGCATGCTTAACGTTTGTGTTGAAAAACAACTGGTGACAGCTAAAATATTTTTGCCGCAAGCTAAGTTTTCCTTTATAATTATTATTGATAAAAAGAACCATCTCCAGAATCTTCGATCCAGAAACTGCTTGTTGCACTATGTAACCATTGCACCCTATGAACTCTTTCTCGCTATTCACTTTTAGTATACTTTGACGTGTGAGTAACCCCGTTTGAACACTAGAAAAATCTCAGTTGAATCAAGTAATTTGAAGGAAACGAAWAAGAATGTAAAACCTGGTTCGTTTCGAAACTTGACTCCAGTGCTGAAATCTGAGCCACGCAGCGTGTAAGGGCGTGTTTTCCTTCGTTTGTTTGCAAACTTTGCTTTACTGTCGTTTTTAGGTGTTTATTTGTTGTTTTATAGAAATTTAGATAAGATTGACTTTGGCCCCGAGCCTCGATAATCCATGCGATGATTCAGGGCTTTGACTTCATGAACGAAAAGCACCATTCTCACCTTTACTGCGGTCTTCACACTGATAATTATTTCTATACTATTTCGTTTTCTTTACTTTTTTTTTATTAAGATATCATAATCTAATAAGGGCAAAACCCTTGTGTCCTGAAAGTTAGTTTGTGATTTATTTTGGGAATTTGATTTGAAAAAGATGTAACTTAGGAGACTAAGAACGATTTTTTTCTAGTCTATCGGCAGTGACTCTACAAGACATTTTATGTATTATTTCAGATGTCTTTCACAATYAAGACCTCCCTTGTTGTCATGGTGATAGTCCTTGGAGTGATGATGCTGCCCCATTCAGAGGCTGGTATCGGCGATTGCTGGGCTACTTGGAGCAGATGCACTAAGTGGAGCCGTTTTTTCACAGGAAAGCTATGGCTGAATTGTCAACAGAGGTGTTATTGCCTTGGCTATGCGACAGGAGAATGTGTGTTGACCCCCTCTACCTGCCCATTCTCTGATAAAGCTTGGCAGTGTCAGTGTTCCGGACGTCGTGGAGGATCGACGCCCGCATGGTGTGGTTTCTAGGCTCGGGCAAGAACCAGGCATTACTAGTCATGATAATTACGACAGGAGCTAAAATAAAAAAGCTAGAATAAAACATGATTATTGTAAAACCTTAGCAATGTTTGCGTTAACATGTTATGAGGAAGTATGAATAATAAAACAATTTGTGAAATAAAGCGTACTGTATTTCTTATTGTACCTGTGAATAAATATAAAGAATAACAGATAGACAGAGTTCATCTTCAAGTGTTGAAGAGAACGATCGACACGATACCAAATAGTATAGCTATCATGGACAGGAAGGCAAATAGAGTTGAGTTGAGTATTTGAAGTCGAGATCTCTCTCCTCCAGAGTCCCGAAGGGGTAAAATGGGGCTGGACGATTAACCCCGATTTTGACTGCGAAAATTGAAAAAAAAAACACCCTGAACAATTTGAAAAACTGATTGGCCAAATTGCGAAAATAAGCAGACGTAACACGTCCCACAATTATTCCTAAAAATTTAAAAATACTTCAAATATGTTACAAATTTCAAAGAAATGCATGCTACATGTGTTCCTGGAAAAGGGTCCAATTTAATGCTTGCTGGACATTTTTGCATACATACTATTTGAACAGCCGTCAATCTTTCACAATACAACACAGTCATTGGGTGAACTGATGTTTATTAATTGTACAAATACATTTTATTTGGCCTTCTTGGCTTTGATCTTTTTAACATAGAACTCCAGCTCTTTTCCCTCCAGGATATAACCATCACATCGACCGCTTTGCCCTGGTCTTGATGACACACATGCTGTAGAAAATAACACCTCATGTCAACTGTATGATAAACACTAGAGTACAAATATTAAATGTGTGCAACACATTCCACTATTTACTACAAAATAGTGCTAATTAAACAATAGAATTAGCATAATTTAGCGGTATTTAGCGGTATTTATGTTGCACAGTTTTAGTGTTTGTACTCTATGACTACTTAATAAAGGGTAACAGTCAAACTATAATAGAAAAAAAATGAATCCCAGTGAGGTCGGAATTAAATTTTCCAAATCTATTTCCAAGGGTCTTTCTCCCRGAATAACCTCCTTCCTAGCACTATAACTTTCCTTCATTTCTAAAACTACATATAATAATGCTTGATATATCAGAAAGATAAAGAAATCCATGTACAAKAATGAGCAATAATATTTGCCTTTTCGTTTTCTTTCATCAAAAAACATTCAAATTTCCAAACGATGAACTTCAATGAAAAGTTTTGCGACATAAACATACTAATGTAATTCAACTATATTGGTAACATGGTCTAACACCATTAAAGTCCAGGAAGAACATAGTATATTATTATTTTACCATAGAGACGGCCTGTTGTAAACTGCTCTTCAAGAGCTGAAGTAACCTTCCCCTGGGCCTTTCTTGCATCAATCTTTCGTTGACAGTGATTGGAGCGCTTTTTGGTGACAGGGTCTTGTTCCTCAGGYTCAGCTTGCTTTTGYGAGGTCTTCTTACGTCCAATTGGTGTTGCATAATGAGCCTCATACCTTGAAAGGCAGGAAAACAAAAATTGTTATGAAGGGAGAATGTTTACTAAAACTCTCCAGGTCATAGTAATGTTCTARCAATGGCAATTGAACATAGATTAGACTCTCACGCCATACTTTCYAAAYATGGCAACTTATGTAACACAATGAACCTATTWTTGACCTTGTCACATTTYTATCACAACTATTTTATTCCCCAATGATTTCAGYGTTGTGAGGATATACCACCCATTTTAAAGTGCACTTATATTTGACAAACATTAATTTGGTCAATGAAATTCAATATTAAACGTTATTTGTTATCCATTCCTTACCACTGTCTGAATGGAGTACTATCAATTTGTACAATGCAGTTCTTTACAAGGGTTTTTGTTCGCACAAGCTCATTGTTACTTGCATTGTACACAACATCAATGATACGGGCCTTCCTGGTTACACCTAAAATGATCGAAAATACATAATTAATAACAGTACTAACATTGGAACGTTTTAGAAATCCATGAAAATTAGCAAGCACACCTCTCACTGTGTACATGACCTCTAAAACACACTACCCAAAACTAAGACAACATAAACCACAGGGATCGCGGGACCCAAAGACTGCGTAAAAAAGCTTAATTTTAATTTTTCACTCTCAGTTTTTATACAATTTTTATAGAATGAAAAGTGAAATTCAAAAGGAGGCTCTTAGCTTCTTTATTTAAGAAAATTCAAAATGACAGGAAAATTATTGGAGGGTCTTTAGCCCCCCAGTCCCCCCTGCTCCGCATAACAGTAACCATGGCAATCAGTGTAACTATGACAAGATAAAAGTGTCACTAGGGAAGCAATAATGCTAATACAGCAAGCTAACCCTTCTAGTATAATTACTTCATCATTTTGCCAGGATTCTGTGGTAAAGAATCAATAGATATACATTTATCTACTGGTAGATAAATGTATCAATATTTACTGTTTATAATTTTCTCGACTCATTCAACCTTTTGAAATAGAAATGGTTGTAATGTTTAAAACGAAAAGTCYAACTATACCGGTAAAACACATCATTCTCATACACAGATCCTTCTCAGTTTCCCTACGCAAAATTGAAGGCTCTTGGTGGAGATGATACCAGAATCTGGACAGAATCTGGATCTAGAATCTGGACCTAGAATTTGGACCTAGAATCTGGGTTGTATGATACATGCATGATGGATGGGAATTTTGGAACCAATCAAATTAAAGAATCACTTGTTTCCAGCCACAGTCTTTGATTTTCCATTGTGAAACTCAGAAGGATCTTGGTACGAGACTGGCATTGATATACATTATACTAGTTGCTTACTCTCGGAGCCCCATGAATAGTTGCCAGTTTCAAGCCTAATGGCACGGAACTTCTTGTTTCCACCCATAGTTCGTACAGGATGGATACGCTTAGGACCAAGCTGTCACAAAATGAATCAAATACCAAGTAAATAGGAGATATGGGAAGTAATTTTCTAGCTTAAAGAATATCTTACTCWCACTAGTAACGTAATGATACATAAACATTACATGTAATACATGCTGTTGATTTCAACCAATGGTTTTGGTAAAGTATTTTCTGTCCCRAAGCCCTCAAGGACAATAAATACGAGATGCAAAAACAACTCAACTTGTCGTGCACCATTGTTGCTTTTAAGTTTGGAGTTCAAGTATCTACACCAATGTCAAGTTGTTGTGCATCAAAAGACAAGCCATGAAAAAAGAAACACCGACTCTAAACTTGGGCAGCAACAATGTTGTGTGATAAGTTGTATTTTTTTGTATCTTACATTTCTTTACTTCTTGTATGACACTATAACTTACTAGCATGTTGCAAAGCGTCACTTTGTTTTACCTTAGTGTTTGCTGGTGGTCTTCCTAATTCAAACTTCCTCTTTTTACGGAGGGCTTTCATTTTACCACCAGTCTGGCGGCGCTTATGCCAGGAGTCCCTTGAGATCCCTTAAATAAATCATTATTATTTCATTGTAAAAGTTTATTCAGTCAATCTCACTATCCTTTGCTCTGTTAGCACTGCATTATGACTGTCTTTCTTTGATTCAAATATATGGCTGTCCATAAAAGATTTAGATTCAAAACACAGTGAAGTAGCATTGTCAATAATTCTTTTACTTATAATAATTTCATTTGATTAAACAAAGAACACCACACGTGAGGTTTTATGGAGCATCAAAACTTCCCACAACAAAACTGATGCAAACTGCCATCGTTCATAACAACTGAAAAACGACTAAAATCTATTCTGAAATGAAATATATACWCTCTAAATAATGATGGAAAGATTTCTCGCAAAGACTGCATAGCTAACATTAACTGCATTTCATATCAAAGCGATCACCGATAAAATATGGAGTAAGGGGTAGTTATAAAACACTGGCATATTTTTCACGAACTGCTTCAATAATCACAAAAATAACTATCACATATTATYATCTGGTTTATMAAGTTGAGTTTGCTTGKTTTTAGTTTCTCGATGAGTATTTTAAAGGACTGATTTTTAAGGATTTAGATTCAAACATCCAGCATCGCTTACCCATTTTGGATTGCTGGCGAAGAGAGAACGAACGCGGCCAAGAGAATTGGTAAGGAGTCTCAAGAGCATCATGGGAGATCCATTTTTCATGTGAAGRGTCGTTATGGAGGGTATGGAGAGGTGAGAAATAATATGAAAATATCATACCTCTGYCAAAATAGAATGATAAAAAAATCAGATAATTATAGTTACTGCAATTTAAAATCTTCATGTTCTGATAAATTCGTAAAAGAGGACTTACCAAACTGATYTTTTGACAACACTAACAGCAAGTATCATTCGTAGAAAAAAAATATAATGAGAAGTAATAAATGTTTAAAAAATTAGGCTATTCACTGTAAATTAACTTAAAAAAATAGAAAAAACAAATTTGTTCAATCAACTCTGTCYACCCTCCCCTCCCGTAAACCGTTTTGGTTTCCTCGTACCCAGTCACTTTCACGTGGTCACGGTAAACTTGCCCTCSGAGCAAATTTCGCGCTGCACGACTGGACCTAAAAATACAAGAAAATTAGGTCAAGAAATATAACTACGGTAACTCCAGGTATTGCACATTGTATTTAAAGTATTTATTGACACAATTATGGAAGAACTTATAAAAAAGACAGAAACAATGCTAAGAGCCGTGCTCATTAGCAGYCCTCGAGGGGTTCCTCTYTATCGCCTTGACAGAGARTACAGAAGCATAACATTTGAGCCTATTCCGTACTCGAAATGTGGCTTTAAAACCTTGGAGGATTTCATAAGAAGYATACCAAAGGTTGCAAGAATAGAGACCGATCGTGATGGCGATACTGTAGTAAAAGGAGTCCCGTCAGAAGCTGATCAGCATGTAGCAAAGTTGATCGCAAAGCAGAAGAAACCAAAGATCAAAAAATCTGCGTCTCGCCCTGCACGAMGACCAATGGCTTCATCTCTAAGGTTCAGTTCTCCAGCTAAATTCTCGACTAGTAAATTCGGTCCAAGGTCCACAAAGCCATCAATTCCTATGGCAAAGCAATTGCCATCATTCASCTCTGCTTCWTCAAATAGYAGAAATCAGTACTCGGCACCAAGATTTATTCCTCCTCGSCTTGCAAGGAAAGCTTTTGGTGAYATGCATACTTCAAATATGCAAGTTTCTTCTGGCTCACAAAGAAAGGTTACAGTTGTTCCGCAAACAGGTAYAATTAAWAGTATTGGTTGTCAAGTGTCATTTATCTGTCAAGCTGCACTATACAATTTACCCACACAACCCCCCTTGGGATTATTTAGGTTGTTTCTAGGAACCAGCAGGACGGAATAGACACATTTCTCTGATTTTTTTTTAATAAGAAGCTTCTGGCCATACTTAGTATTCCTTCTTTGTAAGTATTTACATGTAATTGCACTACACCATGGGCTTTTCGTTATATATATGATAATTTTATCCACTTGCTAGTTTTACTCTAAAYATTACAAAGTTTGTAGAAGTCTGAGTTCCTTCCTAGAATAGGTGTTAACATCTCTTTCATTTTCAAATTGCTTTCTTTGTGTTGGAGGTAAAGCCATGCTCTCTCTGTATCTCTGTACTCTTCAGACGTTCCTGACTGTTGCATGTTCAGCACTATCAAAGTTTTATGCAAAATATGATACATTCAATCCTGACAAACTTGTCTTTAACGTTGTTCAGTTGTAAAGACAAAGTCTTTAACAAAGTCATTTGCATATATATATATATATATATATCGTGTTTTTGATTTCTTTGCAAGAATATTCAACATAAAGTTCCAAAACTTCTAACAATGTCAATATCATTTTAAATTCAGATTTCTTTCTGGGAATTTTAAAAACCTTTTTATGCAATGGATGTGCTGTTGTCATTATGTCTTTACAAGTCAGGAATTCTGACATTATGCACAAAAAAAAAATCAAAATTATATTGGATGATTTCAGGGATGATTATGCGAAAAAAATGTGAATTATGCAAAAAATTATGCAATTTGACGTCATCCTTAAAACCTAAAGTATAACTAATTTCCTTTAGAAACTCAGTAATTTTGTTTCTGTTTAAAAAATATTACACATTATTGATAAATGACTTTCCAATAAAAGCAATTAGCTAAAAAAAGCATGGCATGGTTTTCAGGATTGTCTATGCTGTATAAATACCCAGAAGTTAATGAAAACAAAATATCTGACAATAAGATCATGTACTGATGATAATATTGAATATTTTGATAGTTATACAGGTAGTGAAACCTAGAGTTGATCAGAGATCCATGACCTTTGGTCTATCAAAGCAGAACAGAATAGGTTAGATACCAGTGTAAAATAGATAGYCTGYGTAGCGGSCCTAAAGGGATTKGKGAGTGCTGGYYGAGCRGGAGTGTGGAGGAAAAATAGAAAGGGMAACTGTAGATTTTGTAAAAGWGTGGGGTTCTCTTGGAGACCTTTCCTATTTWTCCTACCCACTCCCTGCTCGGCYGGCCCTCCCCAATCCTCTTWGGGTCKCTATGCAGGCTAYAAAATARCCAAACATTAATACTTACAGYGTATATCTTACTTTTTCAATTTACATTTGTTTACTTTTATTGATGTATTCAATTTTTTCCATTTATTCATTCAGTGATTTTAACTCAAATTTCATCTTCTTCATTCGTTTGAACAAACACCTTTCTGTTTGTACAATATAGAAATAAAACCTCAGGGTGGATACCTTATTCTTAACATTTCAAAAGTAYTGCTTCATGATCATTATGCAAATTTCTGATGGTTTATTTCAAATTCATGAGTTCAGTTGTTGATCTATTCCTTTGTTCATGTGTAATTCACAAGACAMTARGCTGGGCTGCCTGAGGTGYATTTGATGTTAAAACTGTTGCTTTATGCATCTAGACCTTTTTAAAAATATGCCTTWATGATAACTTTGTAATTTTTGTGGATAACKSYTTTTAAAGGTAGRCAGRCWATGAAAACCAAAGGAGAAAAGAGAATTGTTAGCTTCAGTCTACCACAGCTGAGAATGATAGGTTAGAAACAGTGCATAAAATACTATCACGATAAAACTTATCATTTTAAATCGAAATAAAGTCATCTAGTATCTAGTATTCATTTATTTATTCATTTGATCATTGGTCCCCATTCATCCCATCATTTCTTTGATCATGAACGCCATTGTTGTCCATCTAACCATCCACTTTTTTCATTCTCTTTTATTCTTTCTTTCCAATTATTTAAGATTCCTCAGGGCCAAAAAGATTAGTGACTCTGACTTCACAGTCAGGTAAGTGCTGATTTATCTTCCACGAATAGCAGAGATGACAATGATATGAAGTAAATTAACAAACTGCTAGCATTAAAAGTATAGTTACTCTTTTTGTAAAGATATTTTTATGGCACACTTTCAGTTCCYGAAGAAAAACCTGTGAAACCAAATCCAAAACCACCTAGCTCAAAAAGAACTGTTAAACCTAAAGGTATGTGGTATTATAGCATCTAAAGAAATAGTTAGCGTATTGTATGTTTGTGGGTGTTGTTTCCAGTCGTCGTCATCCAAATTGTTGCCCAGCAGATAGAATCCACTTAAAAGTGGGTAGCTYTATCTGACGACAACTTTATCAGAACTTCATACAACCACCTCCATGTTGTATCATATTTGTTTAATATCTTCAAAAGGCATTAATTTTACTGGAATGGAAATAAGCTTTTCAAGAACACCTCCCCAGTCTCCAGTAACTAACGATCCAGGCCAATCACTGAGGACACCTCCACAATCTCCAGTAACTAGAGAAACCAGCCAATCACTAAGTGAGTTTACAGTGTTGTTTGATCTGCTTTATGTCTTAATCTTCCTTTTACTGAATTTGTTTTGTTTTTATTGAGATTTTGAAAAAAAAACAACAACAACAATTGATTGGAGTAAATGTAATTCACTTTTCACTTGACGTTTTGCACATTTKTGATTTGCCAGACTTTTGTTTTATTTAATTTTTTGATTAGCATAATTGTCTGAGAATATTGTTTCTGATACATGTCATTATTTTGAATTGATTTTTAATAAAGGTGTAATTGATTATTTTTGTTTATTTTTGTATATAAATTTATAGGTCCTGAGGTACTAGAGAGGATTGCAAGTGTAAGTAAGCCTCTGAATTTTACTTATTTTTCATGCGATTATGGTGGTTATTGATAACTATTATTATTATAATGAATTATTATCAAGTATGTGTAATTATTTTAGATTGCAGGAAACAATGTCAATGGTTTTTTCCTGGCAAGATTACCTGTTGTTTATAAAGAAAAATACCATAAAGAGCTTCCTAGTAACATTGCGGAATTGCTCTCTAACTACCCTCATATTGTACACTTAGAAAAGTAAGTATCCTCATATTGTACACTTAGAAAAGTAAGTATCCTCATATTGTACACTTAGAACAGTAAGTTTTGTTTGTTTGTTTAGTTTCAATAGAGTGATGCTAATTGTTGTGTTTTGGTAATTATAGATTGGGCAAAATTTATATTGCTTATCCACCTAAAGTAAGTATGCCGAAGATTGGTTTAGTCTTCTATAATTTTTCTTCCTTTTCCCTTTCTTCCCACGTCTTGGCTTCTTCATTGGTATACTGTCTTTTCTTCCTCCCATCCTTCTTTCTTCTATTTCTTCCCTTTCCTGTATTCTTCTCTCACTGTTTTGTTGCATTTTTTTGTTCTCTTTCATTTCCTCCTTCTTGCCAGCCTTCCTCCTCTCCTCTCTCCATCCCTCCCATTTTTATTTTCCCTATTTGTTTCTTCTATTTCTTTATCATTCACTCCCTATCTTTCTTTTATCCTTTCCTCCAACCTTCCTTCCAATCTCCCTCATATTCACGAAAATACACCTGTCCTCCAATKTAATTCAATATCAAATTGTTTCAGGTTAAAAAATCTCAATCWCCTCAAGGTAAGAACAACAGTGATACAATCATTATCAAGTTCAAATTGCTAAAGTTGTTTTAAACTTTTCATAATGCCCATCTTCACACCTGATATTCTTGCTAATTAAGAACAGGTCTCAAATGTGGACTACATTGTTGGTGCATTTAATCTTTGACAAGAAGTTGTGAATCATTGTGGCTTTCTTGGTGACAAGCAGGCATAACACTTGAGGAACTCTTTATTGTGTGATAGGCAAATTGGCTTGTGCACATCAGCAGTGTGGGAATTTGCATTGATCCAATGTTTCTTGTATTGTCAGAGGTTTCATCAATGACCAATAATAATACAGTATTTGGAGTTACAGTATTTGGAGTACGTTATTCTCTTTAAATTGTGATAACATTACTGAAAACATGTTGCTTTCTTGAATGACAGATGCTTCAAATAATAAAGCTGGAGAACCAACAGAAACTAAACAAACTCTTTATAAAGTAGACAAACCAGAAGATACTAAACCGAAAAGAAAAGTTATAGAATTGTATACGGTCACACCATACACAGTGCCAGCTTTAGGGTAAGTATTCAGAGATTAAAAACATTAATACAAATCAATATGAACCTTGTTGGAGGTTGGAGTGGTCTATCCTTCTTAATTGTCTTCTATATTATATCCTTGCAACCTCAATATCCAGTCCATTTTATTCATATTTCACTTTCTCTTTGGTGCTGACATTTTCTTCCTGCCATCTCTTTTTTCTTTTCTCCTTCACTTCTGTCTAAATCTTTCCTCTTTCTTTAGCATTTGTTACTGACTAGTTTAGTGTGCTGCTCTCCACTCCCTTCATTAGTTTTTTTTTCCTACTTGATCCTTTTGTGCAATGTTGTTGTTTATTTTTATTCATGCCAAATTGTATCTCTTTCATTCATCTCTTTTGTATTTTCCCAGTGTTCCTGTCCAAGTGTATGTTTCGTACATTGAAAGTGTCAGTCATTTTTATGTTCAGTATAAAGAAAATGAAACTGAACTTGATGCATTACAACAAAGATTGTATGATGATATGAAGGTTAGTAATACTCTTGTTATAAATATGATTCATGAGTATTGGCGATTACTGGGGTTATACTAGATAATTATAAAATGTGAGATGTGTTGAGTAAAAACTATTTCTAAAGTCCAAATGCATGCAAGAAATAACTCTTCCATGTTTTTTTTATCACATACAGATCATCTTGTAGATGTTGACCAATAGTCTCCTTCACGGTTATGTGCGCCACCTTGAAAGGTAGCTGTGCCTTTTCATCGAAGTGAGACAACTGTTGAGAGTGCAATGATAGAAGCCTGTGAATAATAGATGAGGTGACGGTTTCGGCCGCCATTTTGTTCCGGTAGGCAAAGTGTCGCAAAATAACAAGGAATGACCGGGAAATCGATGTCAAATAATTCTTGCTGAATTCAAATTCAGAAAGAATTATCAATTGAAAACGTTAGATACCTCAAAAAGGAGTTAACGGGCAAAATTGGAAAGGCGTACTTGATCTAGAGAGCGAGTAAACTCATTTTTAGTTCTCCATACATTTCTTTGTAATTTCAATACATTTCGTTATCATTTCCGGGGTCATCAGTGCGTGACGCGCGTGAAAAATACAAAGAAATGTATGGAGAACTAAAAATGAGTTTACTCGCTCTCTAGATCAAGTACGCCTTTCAAATTTTGCCAGTTAACTCCTTTTTGCAGTATCCAACGTTTGCAATTGATAATTCTTTCGGAATTTGAATTCAGCGAGAATTATTTGACATCGATTTCCCGGTCATTCCTTGTTATTTTGCAACACTATGCCTACCGGAACAAAATGGTGGCCGAAACCGTCACCTCATCTATTGTCTGTAGGTGTGAAAGAAGGTTTGTATCATTGTACGCTCAACGGTCATCTTGCTTTGATGCAAAGGCACGGCTACCTTTCAAGATGGCGCAGGGGATCGTGAAGAAGACTATTAGAAAACAACTTGAAACAACAGATCTTTTTCAAAACAAAAAAAACAAACAAAAAAAAACAACCTCAAAGTTTCTCATAATATTATTATGCAACATGGCCTTAAACTATAAAATCTACAGGTTTTGAATTAACAATGTTTTTTATTCATCTGTTTTTGGTTACTAGGACTCATCTGAATATGTCTCATCACCAGTACGAGGCATGCATTGTTGTGCACRGTTCACTGAAGACAATWCCTGGTATCGAGGACAAGTACTGGAATGTATCGAAGAMAACACCACTAAATCTGTCCATATATTTTATGTAGACTTTGGAAACTCAGAATGGTTACCTCACACCAGATTAAGATATTTAAAAAAAGAACATGTTGAATTGCCTAAAATAGCTGTGCATTGTAGTTTACGGGGAATTACTGAAGATGATGATGCCGCAGTGCAAAGATTTACAAATATGTTGGATAAAGAGTCAACAATGACAGTTATAGAACGAGTTGGTAAGATGCATGCCGACAACACTGTGCCCTTGTCATGTCATATGACCATTATGTAATATTTAAAGTATGAGCGGGAGACCTTTATGGGCATTTAAATCTACAAGCTGTAAGCGTTAAATCTCATGAAGGTTGGATGGAAATATTTTATCTATTAATTCATATTGCTGATCGAAGCATATTTTGCTAAAAATCTCAAGATAACATTTTATTTTTAAGAGAATTCTCTTGCTCATATAGAGATGCGATCACGGCAATGATTTTCCATTGTGCTTACCTTATGAATTATTAATGAATTTAAAAACTATTTCAAAGAAATTGACACCATTTTATGGCCCGCTTTTTTATGGTTTGTTTTATTGATGTTCTTGTCCTTTTCATTTACTAGTAGTTGTGTGCTGGCCAATAATAAAGAAAATATGAAGAAAATATGAAGTTTCATCTTTAGTTTCCACTTTGTATTTCGTTAGGTGAAGTACTATTTGTACAGCTGACAGATGATAATGGTGTTAAAATATCAGCAACGTACAAAGATCAACAACCACAGGAACAAACAAACCAACAAACACAGAAAAACACAGACCAACAAACACAGAAAAACACAGACCAACAAACACAGAAAAACACAGACCAACAAACACAGAAAAACACAGACCAACAAACACAGGACAAAACAGATCACCAAATACAGAGAAATGGAGATGAACAACCTCAAAGAGAAACAGAACAACTCCCCAGTAATAAAGACAAGACATCAACAGACCCTACCCTTGATAGCAGTATAAGGTACACTTAGAATAAGTATAGTTTACAACATGAGCGGCCGTGTTGTATGGGAATTACAATCTCGAGCCGCAG